TCAAACACCACGTCTTTCAAGATTTTTGATTCTTCCCTCAATCTTTTCACTAAGAAAGGACTCAGGCATTTGGAAACCAAACCTTTGTATTTTTCTGCCTTCTATCATGTAGTACAGAAGTTTGAATCCACTCAGAGGCACCTCATAAGAAAGACATGATAATCTACTTCTCAAAAATCAACGACTGAATACCCCATGGAGCACAGTTCTACTCTGATGCACATAGGATTACCATAAATTGAAGTCAACTCAATGGCAGTGTCCTGCGTGCTTCATTGGATTGGAGAAGCAAATGGAGGAAGACTCAGCAAAACTCAGTAAGTATTTTCACGATATGGCCCATGTTGCCTCAGCTTCCCGAGCATGGGGTGGCTGGGTTAACCTTAGGAGCTTGCTTTGCCTGGAGGACCAAGGTTGGGGTGGGTTCACTTTCTGGGTAACAAGTACAAGGTGATTTCCATCTATGTCTCTCCTAGATTTCCTTCCCTTTAGTTCTTTCACCCTTCAAGGGATAAAGGGAAGAAATGGGATAAACATAGAAAGGAGGCGTGCCTCCCTGCCTTAGCAGATCAAAACTCCTAATTCCTGCCAGCCTCTGGAGGCCCTCAAATGTTATGCCTGAAAACCGGCATTAATGAGCACTTTGAGGAGTGATGGGACTGACAAAGGTGTTTATTTTTAACCAGATGCTAAGTGCTCCTGAGCAGGGCAGGGTGTCTTTGTGTCCCCAGGTTATGTGGACTCAAAGGTGTCTTGTCACAGCTATGCCAGGCCCCTAGCCACTAGGAGGATCTTTTGTGGAGCAGACTCACTTTAAGAACTCTCTCCTAGCCTGGATTGTGTTGGCCATTTTTTTTTTCTTCTTCTGTCTTATGGACCTTGCTGGAAGGGAGGGAGTGAGTTAATTAGTGACAGACAGCGGAGGGTGGCTGTGCTTTCTCAAGTGTGTGAACACAAGTCCTTTTGGAACAGCTCTGGGATTAATTGGGGGTTTTTGTCCAGGGAAGTGTCACTACGGTTTGTTGATTCTTATTACGAGCTATTAGAAGGTGACAAATCACTGGAGAGCTTATGGCTTAACCACTGGGTACCCTAGGACTTGGACAGGGGCTGTCATACCCAAGTCCCATCAGCATCCTCAGCTGGTTTCTCATGATGTTGTTTGGCCCAGGCACAAAATCTGAAGAAACTCAGTAGTAAACAGTGTGGTATGTTAGGTAAAGGCAGCTGGGCCTCTCTCTAGGTTGTGAATAGAAGAGAATTAAAACTAAAAAAACTAAATCCACTGCCATCAAGTTGATTCTGACTCACAGTGACCCCAACGGGGTTTTCTAAGGCTGAAAATCTTTATGGAAGTAGATTACCTCATCTTCCTTGCATGGAGCAGCTGGTGGGTTTGAACTGCTGACCTTCTGGTTAGTAGCCAAATACCTTACCTATTATGCCACTGGAGCTCCCTAGGGCCAAACATTTTAGCTCAGCCTGGACTAGGTACAGCAGGGGATGGCTGACATTTTCCACAGATTCACTGAGATTTTTCAGAGTCAGTAGTTAGAAAACAGGGGCCCAGAGGGGGCCCAGCAGTGATTCATGGGGTGCCTAATCTTTGACCCTGAGGCCCAGTACACAGTGGTGAATAACAGATCCAGACCCCTAATGGGGCTTTCTCTCGAGCAGTGGAGACAGCTATTAAACACGTATATTAAAGCTGTAAGTGAAATGCAAGCCTGCAGAGTGCTGCAAGGGGACAGATAGGGGCTCTGGGAAGAGACTAAGTCTTGGGGGTTGTCTGTGAAGTTTTCAGGGAGGGTCCCTGGGTCCTGCTCAGATTCCATTCCTCACCCTTCTGCTTTGTTTCCCCAGTTGCTGCTCCCTGGGCTGACCAATTTCACCATGGGGAAAAGAGATGGGGAGAGTGATAGAAAAAAGCAGCTGGGAATCACTAAGCTTTGCCCCAGGCTCCAGGCTGATGAGCTCTGTCAGTCCTCAGTTTTGAGACCTCCCCCTCAGCCCTCTACACAAAGACCGTCCTCCCCTGCCTCCTACTTCCATCTTGCAGTGATGAATCCCTTCCTGGACTACACTTATCCCGGAGATGCAACATCCAAAGCTTAATGAATGGTGCTAGTTTACTTGTCTAGTTGTTAATGACTTCTTTTCCTTTATCTCCATAAGTAGAAAATTTGAGACTTAGATTTGATAGGAAATAGGTGTCTTATGGTTTGAAAATGGAGTTGCCAGGTGCCTGTGTTCAATGGTGGATAAATAATTTGAATAATGCATCTTAGAAGTGTTTATTAGCATTCTGATGAAGATAAGTGAGAGATCTGACAGGAAATCTTCTAAAAGTGTTAGTAATTTGTTCCCTGGATAAATCCATGCTGTGGTAGTTAATGTTTGTGTATCAACTTGGCTGGACCTGGTTGAGTGGCTGGGCAGCTGGTGGTAGTTATTCCCCATGATGAGACTGGCAATCAACTCCATAGTGGGATCTACCACGAGCAGCTGAGTAGCTGCTTTAGGGATGTGGTCTGCTTCCCATGTATGAGAAACAGCTTTGGGAATGGTCCCTGGCTTATGGCATGCTTGAACTCTGCATGTAATCGTGCCATTGTTCAGCAACCTGCCATGCTCGGGTGATCTTGGGACTTTCAATGGACTTGAATCAATGACCTGCTGTGTTGTTTGGTAACATTGGAACTGTGTTTTTTTACTTGTTGACCTTGGGTTTGTCAGCCTCAGCAGCCAGCAGCTGTCTGAGTGAAGAAAAGCCTCTAGCTTCAGTGGGCCAGGAGCAGTAGACAGAGCTGAAGCCCAAGTTTGAGGGGCTTTCACCCAGCACCTAGAGCCTGGCACTTTGAACTCAGACTTAAAGTGTCCAAACTGTAAGAGAAAAAACTCCTGTTTGTTAAAGCCATCCCATTTGTGGTATATTCCTGTCAGAGCAGCACTAGGTAACTGAAACACATGGCTCTTCAGCCTCCCTATTCAGAATCCAGGCTTAAAAATGAGGCCACTAGACACATGTCTCAGCCCGGTAGCTGGCAAGGGCCTCAGTGAATATCTGCAGCGTTGGTGGGTCATGATGTTTGTATTTGAGCAAAGCTACAGGAGCTCTGGTAGTATAGTGCCTAAGGCACTTGATTGCTAACCAGAAGGCTGGCGGTTCAAACCCACCAGCCACTCCTCAGAAGGAAGGTTGGGCAATCTTACTTCCGTAGTGATACTGCCTTGGAAACCCAAGGAGGGGTCGCTATGAGTCAGGGCCGACTCGATGGCAAATAACAACATAACAACAACAGGTGTCCTCTCTGAACAGTGCACCGTCACCTGGACATACAACCAGATAGATATTTTCAGGATTTGTAGGTTCTTTGAAACCCTCACAAATGTGAACCCTCACACAGAACTCAGGTTAAAAACTCCTGGGCCACAGTTTATTTAATCATAAGAGAAGTTCTTATTTTAACGCCTCCTTCACTTTGCAAGGTATGAATTTTGACTTTTACCAGCAAACGTTGCTGGTATTCTGGGGTCCAGCTCTGTGAAGAATCCTGCACACACAGTGAATGTGTCTAGTTTGTCACAGCCCCTCCCACATCCCTCAGTGCTGAGACCAACTTCAGTTTTATTAGCACCCATTTGATCTGTGTTTCTCTTACAGCAGAGTTAAGTAAAAAAAAAAAAAATATATATATATATATTGTCCGTGAAGATATGTATCTTGAAACATGAGCCCCTCTCCGTATGTGTATTTGTATATATATTTTCCCTGCTTTGGTTTCTGTGTCCTTCCAGGGCAATTGCAAAGCACTGGAATCTGTAACCCTGATCCTCCTCACAGGCTGCCGTGAAGATTCAGTGGACTGATGTTTGCAGAGCCCTCAACAGAGTGCCTGGCACAAATGAAGTACTCAGTATGTCAAGCTATTTATATTAAGGTTTCCTTAAGACCAGTGACATCTTCTGTAACTGGCTCAGAATGGGTATTGTTTGGGACTGGGCCGCCCTCTGGTGGCAGTTCCCCCTACTCACACCTGGGCCCCTCCGTCCGAGAGGAGCTTTGAGACTCCATTTTCCTGACACTCTTACCTCCTCCCACACATAACCCCAAACACCAGGGAAAGGCTGAGAGAAAATATTCCACTTTTCTCACCATTTCCTTTGTCTGCTTCGTGACCTTGGTGAGGTTTGGGTCACTAGGGCTGGGGGCAGGAAAGGGCTTGGGGATGAGGATGGAGGCCAGAACTTCTTGGAGGTCCTGGCTGTGTTGACTCTGGGTGGTTGGCACTTTTCCTCCTTCACACATGCCCTATTCCTCTCTCAGAGCTCCCCTGGTTTTGTGGTTCCCAGCCCCCTCCGCCTCCCCAGGAGGCCTCCAGGCAGCATATCCACAGAGGCTCCCCAAGCTATTATGAGGTAATTTTATTTCTTTCCATTTTAGGTAAAAATAGTAAATACAAGATAATCTTATTAAAGGTAAAAATACATCATTTGGATTTTGTTCTCTAAACAGTTCTACCTACAGTACAATTTTTGATTTCAGATTTTGAAACTTTTTTTTTTTTTCTTATAAACAAATAGAACTATGTTGCTATTAGGCTATCTGTGTTCTCATCTGGCACTTAAGAATAGATCACAGGTCACCTCCCGGTTCTGTTTGGATGGTCTGAATCAGTGTGTGTGCATGGGTGGTGGGAGGGAGAGAGAAAGGGCTGGTGGAATGAGGTGGTCTATCTTCCCAGGGCACAGAGAGCTGCTGTCCCATGTGCAATGGAAGGGCACATGTGCATCCAAGATGGCCTCTGCCTGCTCTGGCCACAGGAAATATTTCAACTGTGGCTGGACTAAAAGTCTCATAAGCCTCACCAGGACACTTCCTCCCCTCCTCCTGTGGTAGCTTCTCTTACCAAACAACCTAGATTGACAACACTTCTGAGTCCAGGCAGGACACTGGGCTGGAGATACCACAATGCTGCCTGACAATGAGCCGGTGAATCCCCCTTAGTGTCCTAGGGGAGTGGGCCTGGGACCCGTCCCCACCAGAGCTGGTGGCCAGGTATCCAACCTGGCCTAGGATTGCTGGTAGAAGTCACAGATGCCAATGTGGGCTGTTAAATGTCTTTGCCCTTGTTCACCCTCAGGTGGTCTTTGTTTAAGTTCTTTCCAAACTTCTCACTGAGCTGTTGGATCAGGTCTGCCAACTCGCCAGTAGCTTGAGATTTTTCTTCAAGGAGCTCATAGCGCAGGCTGGAGATGTCTTGCTTGATTTCCTTCAGTTCACCTGGAAGGACAGAGGAGTTTTTAGGAGCTCTGGTGGTCTAGTGATGAAGGCATTTGGCTGCTAACCAAAAGGTTGGTTTGAACCCACCATCTGCTGTAGGGAAAACTCTGCTTCTCTAAAGATTTTGCAGCCTTGAAAACCCAATGGGAGTCACCATGAGCTGGAATCGACTCAATGGCAGTGAGTTTGGTATTTTGGATGGGCAAGTAGACAGGGTTCATCCAGCGTACAATTGGAGCATTCCTCTCTCCAGCAGAATGTTGGGTTGCTGGGCCAGCCTGCCAGTCGTGGAGGTGAGGGGGTGGGTGCTCTGTTTTGACTGAAGTACTATTCACTTCCCACCACTAGAGGATGCCCCCCTCCCCCATTTAAAACCTGTCCCCCATTCCTGGAACACCTCTCTGTTCAGGGTTTTAGGTTTGATGGAGAAGTGACAATCAGGGTCATGGACTATGTCTAGCACCTTGTTCACATCATGATTATTAGACTGTTGGTCTCAGAGTCAATAAAGGCAGATCAGTTAATTGGAAAATTTATTTTCAAGATGTTCCACGTTTTGTTCTGCTCTTATTTACAGAAAGGAGAAACTCCCGAGTGTGTGAAAAGAATGGCTCGCCACAGTCGATATAGCTACTGAGCTGGCCAGTGTCACAAGAATGAGCAGGTAGCTGAAGCAGGATTCATTTGAAACGTGCTACCACCACTGCCTCACAAATAAAGCTGCGACAATGCCTGCTGCCTCCTCCTTTGGTAACAAGGGACCCCCAAGTGGGGACTTCTGCTTTTTGCATCTATAGTGAACCACGTGGTTAGAAATCCATATGAGTCTGGGCAGTGGGAATCTTTTTATTGACCACATAGGGGAGCTGAAAGGTTCTTTCTTGATGTTATAGATAATGCACTTGACCCAAGTGAGACTCCACTGCCTGTGGACACATTATTCATATTGAATTTTTAAAGAATAATTTACATGCATATAATGCAAAAGTCTTAAATGTACAGCGTGATCTGCCTTGACAAATGCATTACTCCCCCCCTTTTTTTTAAATCATGAACTTAACTCATCCCAGTTTCATGGTGTAATTCTAGTGGCATGAAACCTGGATAACTCCACATTCCTTAACCAATAATTCTTTTCTATCACAATTGCATACTAATTGAGGCTGGCTGCCATGACCCCTGGCAGTTTTATGTTTGAGACCCAAAAGTAGAGGGGGGGCGGTTCTCAGCCCCTAGACAATGTCAGTGTAGTCAGTCTAGTTGTTGTGGATTTACAGGCTGCCTTGCACAGTCTAGTTGCTGCGGATGTGCAGCTTGGATGCCCCAGGGTGAAGCAAAGGGCCATTTTACACAGGAGTACTAAGTGACCAAGCTCTTTTGGTAGCTCCCAGTGGCCCCAGTGAGGCAGAGACTTAGTGCCTTCACTAAGGATAAGGCTGTTTCGAGACAGCATTTGTTGATCTTAGGTAGCTCATGAAGATTAGGTACCTGGCATGGGATAATCCACTTTTCACTTAAGAGTAACTACTTAAAACACACTGGAAAAGAACCCAAACAATGAAAACAATGTACTTCACAAATGCAGTGTGCCTCAGAATCACTTGGTGGTGTTGCCAAAATGCAGAGTCCTGGGCCCACCCCAGAGATGTCAATTCATTAGGTACAGGCAGGGTCCAAGGAATCTTCATTTTCAGCAAGTGATTCTAATTCTGAGAGCTGGCTGCCATGAAAGCTTGGAGCTGAGACAAGGCAGGGTCAGCTGGTAAGAAATTGGGTTGGTGGCAGAATCTGAAAATGGTGCATGGTCTACTCACTCTGTCCCTGTGCCCACAGAACGAGATGCAGGCAGGGGAATTCTGGGCCATCCAGAACTCAAGGGACATGGGGACAGACTCATTGTAGGCATTGCTGTGGTAGGCAGAATAATGTCCCCCTTACCCCCAAGCCAAAGATGTCCACATGTGAATCCCTGGTGTTCTGTCTGTGAATATGTTAACATTACATGGTAAACAGAGCTAAGGTTGTGAATCAGATGCCCTTAAAATAGGGAGTTTACTCTGGATTATCTGGGTGGACTCAGACTACTTACATGAGCTCTTAGAAGTAGAAAAGGGAGGTCAGAAGAATGGGTCAAAGAGAAGCAATGACAGAAGAAGCAAGAGAGATGTCAGGGTGAGGAGAACTCAATGCTCTGCTGCTCGTTCTGAGATCTAGGGGTCATGTGCAGAGACTGGAGAGGCCTCTAGGAGCTAAAAGTAGCTCTAGCTGATAACAGCAAGGAAATAGGGACCATAGTCCTACAAATGCATGGAACCAAATTCTGTCAACTACATAGTCAATCTGGAAACATTGTCACCAGAAGGGGATGATACCTTCCTACACCTTGATTTTAGCCCAGCAACTGCTCCCATAAAGATTATAGCCTAGGAAACCCTTTGGGGCAGTTCTACTCTGTCATATAGGTTTGCTATGAATTGGAACTGACTTGATGGCACATAACAAAAACAATGACCCATTTAAGACTTCTGACCTATAGAACTCTAAGAGGACAAATTTGTGATGTTAAGATACCAAATTTGTGGTATTTTGTTATGGCAACAACAGGAAACTGATACAATCACTTACCTTCATTGACTTCATCATTTTCTCTATCCACCTGGGCCTTCAGGACATATCTTTTTATGAGCCTTTTCATGATTTTCTGAAATCACAAAACACAAAGGATCAAAAAACTTGGTCCAGCACAGAGTAACCTTCAGGGTGTCTGCATGGTGCCCCTTTCTACAAAGGACATGGTCAGTCTGGGGTCCTGTGCTAGTGGGAACCTAGACAAGTCTCTCTGCTTAACTCCATCTCCCCAGGAGTAAATATCCACCTGACCAAGAACAGAATGCTTCTCAATTATATAAAGCTAAGCCAAGGTGAGAGAATCATCTTAGATTGATAGGCTTTGATCAAGGATCCTAGCCCTGGCTCTACCTGACTTCCTTTGTGACCCTGGCCAGTCATCCTCTTCTCTGGAACTCAGTTCTGAAACACTTTCTTCTATTTATTCCAAGACATGATATGATCAGGAAGGAATATTGGTGAAGCCTTAGCAGGCCAGCCCACATGGAACTGCATGACTTAGGGAAGACAGTGAGAGGTGTACTGTTCATGAAACAAGATTTACTTAGTATAAAGATCAGGACCAGGCTTGGAAAATTCCTACCGGAAGCAGAAACAGATATAGCCAAGCCTCTGGAAGCTTTGCTGAGACACCACTTCCTATGAAAGCCCACACACCTGACCCTGTACTGTCAGTCACATTGGAGGAGAAGGAGTTGACCTTCATGTTGCATTTATTATGCAGATACTGTATTCTTTACGCAAACAAGGCATGAATAAACACTTAGGAGACACCAAGAATAGAGCCATGTGTAAGGAAGACTGCAGGAGGTGAACTTTGGATTTTGCTAGCAGTTGTTCCAGGGTTCCTGAGAAATCACAGCGTTTATAAATATTCTGATAGCCGAGACTTCTGAGTCTTGCAAGAGATGAACAGCATGATAAAGAGGCAGGGATTTCCCTGCTCCTTGGTCATCCCTGCCTGTGTCCTACTAACCTGCTCATACCTGAGGACAGATGGTACAGAGACAACATTTTCTAGACTAAAGAAACCTGCAGGGACCTGAATTCTGCCCCTAGCTTTGCTGTGTGACATCAAGTGGATGTTCTCTCTGACTTCATGAGCTCAGGAAAAGCTTTCAGCATGTAAAAGGGAACTGAACTGCTGGGATGCAAAAACTGGAGGATTTAACTCATTATTTTCACCAAGGGGTGGTTCTGTCTATGCCTTCAATGGTGAAGACCTTAGCAAGGAGGGGTGTCCTATCCCTGTGGGACTTCAATTAAATGCAGCAAAGCTCTCTGCTCTGAGCCTCTGAGTCAGCTCATTCAGGCCAGGGCTGCCCTATGCTCAGCTCTCAGGCTCTTGGTCTACTTGGCTCTATGGTTTGCATAGTGATCTAATTTCAGGCTGAACAGCTAATTAGCAAGTTGCCTTCATGCTGCTACTTCTCAGAGAGGCCCAGATTTGATCATATTAGTGGCTAAACTGCTGTGCTAAATTTCTCAGTGACTTTCTTCTACTCAGTAAAACAGTTTACCTAACTTGCAAGAATATTTATCTTTTCATGAGACTCTGTAAAGCTGTTTTCACTTTGGATGAGAAAAACAAAATAAAAGGAAAAACAAACACTTTCTCCTGAACCAATTCTCATAGGAAAAAAAAGAAAACCCCAGAAAACCAGTTACCTCAGTATCTGCCATTCTTACTGAATAAGAAATTTAGAAGGATTCTTCCTCTACAGACTTTCAGATAAGGGGTGTCTAGTTATAATTTTGTTGTCTTTTCAAGGAAAATCTCAAGAATGAAGAATTCCTCAGTTTCTGGATCTATCAATTGGAGGGCATTAATATTTATGATAGGAGCTCTGGTAGCATGGTGCCTAAGGCATTTGACTGCTAACCAGAAGGTTGGCAGTTCAAACCCACCAGCCACTCCTCGGAAGGAAGGTTGGGCAATCTACTTCTGTAGTGATACTGCGTCAGAAACCCAAGGAGGGGTTGCTATGAGTCAGGTCCGACTCGATGGCACATAACAACAACAACAACAACGTTAAGCCCACCACTAATCTGTCAGTTTGTTGTACTGTGGTGGTTTGCATGTTGCTATGAGGCTGGAGGCTGTATCACTCGTATTTCAAATACTGGCAGGGTCACCCACAGTGGACAGGTTTCAACAGAACTTCCAGACTACGACAGACTCAGAAGAAGGAACAGGCCATCCACTTCTCAAAGTATTGACCAGTGAAAACCCTATGAGTAGCAGTGAAACACTGTCTGATGTATTACTGGAAAACTTTATGAATAGCCCTGAAGCATTGTCTGATATAGTGCTGGATGATGAGCCCCTCAGGTTAGAAGGCACTCAAAATATGACTGGGGAAGAGCTGTCTCCTTAGAGTAGAGTCGTTCTGTTGTACATAGGGTCTCTATGAGTCAGTGCTGACTCAATGGCACCACCTAACAACAAGAACAACAACAACAACAGCATAATGTTAAGCTGGAGACCAGAAGTGATATATTCTCTATTCTATGAGTAGAATCTTTTCACAGTTAAGACAATAATCATAGTCTCCCTGCTTAGCAAATGTATCTAGTAGGTACAACACAAACTGATCGTTGTTGTTACTGTTATATGCCGTCAAGTTGGACCCGACTCATAGTGACCCCTCCTTGGGTTTCCGGGGCAGTATCACTACAGAAGTAGATTGCCCAACCTTCCTTCTGAGGAGTGGCTGGTGGGTTTGAACTGCCAGCCTTCTGGTTAGCAGTCAAGTGCCTTAGGCACTATGCTACCAGAGCTCCTACAAACTGATTAATTTAGGTTATTCCATAGTATATGTGTAGACGTGATCCCACTCACAAGCATTCTTAAATGCAGAGTAGCTCTTTGAGGTGAAAGGAGAAAGGTTAGAAAAAAGAAATAAAGAAATGAATATATTGAATGCTTCCTTTAGGCCAGCAGTTGTGTTAGCCTCTTTGACAAACATGACCTCATTGAATCCTCCCAGAAATCTGGTGAAATGGAAGCTATCATTTCCATTTACAGATGAGGACACCAAGGTCTAAAGCTAGCTGACTTCTCCAGGGTCACACAGCTGAGAAGTGGCAGCTCTTGGAATTAACCAAAGCTGGGGCTTCATCCAAGCTTCATCAAAAGGTGAAGCACAAGCTGTTTTGTGGAATAAGATGCAGGATACTGCCTCCCATTGGTCAAAGAGGGTTGGGATACTTCTGGGTAGTAATTTGTCCTTTTAGAAACCATGAAATTCTAAGGCAGGAGAAATCTTCAGCTAGATTTCAGAGGATGGGTAGCATTATCCAATTGCTGTCCCTTGGAGAAGAAGGTCACTGGTATGTCATTGGCATGAATGCCTATGACTTACTCTTGAACACTGGCATACTTAACTTGAGCTAAAGTTTCTACAGTCCTGCTGCTTAAAGAGTAGAAAAGCAAAGGTTTGTTTTTAAGTCTCTCAACATGCACTAGGATTGTAGAGACTTAATTAAAAAAACAAAACAAAAAACAAACTCACTGCCGTTGAGTCAATTTCAACTCGTAGTGATCCCTCCTTGAGTTTCCAAGTTGGTATCACTATATGGAAGTAGATTTCCCAACCTTCCTTTGAAGGAGTGGCTGGTGAGTTTGAACCACTAGCCTTCTGGTTAGCAGCCAAATGCCTTAGGCACTACACCACCAGGGCTCCCGTTTATCACTACGGAAGTAGATTGCCCAACCTTCCTTCCGAGGAGTGGCTGGTAGGTTTGAACCACCAGCCTTCTGGTTAGCAGTCAAAAGCCTTAGGCACTATGCCACTAGAGCTCTTAGAGATTTAATATATCAAAGTAGAATTGACTGAGCTTCCTACCTACCTCTAGTTCACTTTCAGGAGTGACAAATACCCTACAGAAGACCACTGTGACTGCCTGTCAATTGCTTTGAGACATCAGGTCCTAACTCTCTGTGGTATGTGCATGTTGGATAACTTGGAATCTGCAAAAGAAAGATTCCAGTCTTGCCTCTAGAAAGTCTTAAATGGTTGGAAAATGCCTCAAAGTTCTATTTACCTTGGATGCCACAGCAGAAATCTGATACCAGACAATATGGACACTAATAATCTCTCCTTCTTCACTATGAGGTGAAAAGTATTTGAAATATCTCATTATTGTCCCACAGAGCCTCTTCACTTCATGAAGGTAATAAACTTTCTCCAGGTGAATATGTCCTTGTTGGTGGTGGCAGCATTCCTCACTCTGCTCCCATGCATTTAGCAGGTGCTGAAGATGAACATATTTAGGGATACTGTTCAGGCAAAAAAACTAATAGAGTGAATGGGAATGAGATGCCCAATGGATAAGAATGGTCTAGGGAGGAAGGCACACACTCCACCCCACCCAGACTCTAAGGGGCCAGATGGTCTATGGCTGCTGCTGAAGGGGAAAATAGAAAGAATTTCCTAAGTCTTTCTATGGAAGAGGCAACTCTTTAAGTGCAGGCAGGGTAGCTAATGACACAGACAAGAAAGAGAACACACACTGTACATTGAAGATGGCCAATGAAGTAGAATCCAGAGGGAGGGAATGTTGCCACCTAGGAAAACAGAAATTGAGGAATGTTTGGAAGAGAGTGGACAAAATGGATCCTAGGATGAGTGATGTGTTAAACTGGGATGTATGAGAAACCAGAAACTAAGAAATAAGCATTGGCAAAGTGCCTATCCTATTTGCTTTTATTTCTACAGTAAAGGCCATCTAGAAGGTGAGAAAGAACTCCCTACTGGGTTTTCAGGAGGGGATTGTATCATAAAGATTGGGGCTTATTTGAATGATGAACTCTACCTAGATTTTATATTTATTTGGGATATGGCTTGTGCTTTGCCTATGAATGAAATATACCTCTCTGAGTGTAAGTATATGGGGTCTGTGCACACCCTAACAATTTGACACACTGGGTCGTGGAACAGGTCACAGGTATGCCTTAAAAGAAGGCATGCTTTGGTCATCTCACTAATATTATAGTTTTTGTCCCACTGTTTACTGGGCCCAGATTGGAAAAAAAAAGATTGAGATGTAAGGAACTAATTTTGTGAAAAATAACAGTTCAGACACCCCTGAATCTAAGAAAAGCAAAGCACAGAGAGCCTCTGAAGTCTGAAAGAACTGTTTTCCTTTAGAACAAAGAGCCCAAATAAAGTTAAAGGATTGTCAAGTTAAAATAAACACCTAAAACACTAAGTTTGAATGATCAAGCAGATCTAATGAAGAGACAGAAAGGAAACAGAAGCTTAAAACCTAAGTGTATGAATGATGGTGTTTTCGTCTTATTAGGAATGCTACAGAATCCCTCAGAACCACAACAGTTGGGATGCTGTCAGCACATGTACTCAGGAAGATGACAATTCTGGGTATGGCCTGGAAGTGAGAAAGAGGGAGTAGATTGTGTTCCTATGTCCACTGAACTTTTGGGAACTTCTTTGGGAGTAGAGAAATTCAACTTGGAAGGCCACCAGTGGGCCTAAGAAAACAGATGCGCCACTATCAAATCCCTGTGCAAGTCCATCCTTCTTCCTCACATGTTGCTGCCAAGTGATAACAAAAGTGCCTTCTCTTGCTCCTTGCCTCCTCACCTCAGGCTTTAAAGGTTCATGTAGATCTCTTCCCAGTGTCTGTAAAACTTAGGCAGGCATGTTGTCAGTGAGGGCAAACATTGATATACAGGTGGATAGATGGGTGGACAGGCTGAATGATTAGGTATGTCTATGCAGGGGGAGTGTGCCCATGACTATGTATAGGGAAGTATGTTTATGTTCTGTAAGAATTTCCAGGTACATAGTAGAGTTGACAAGGGACAAGGTTGTAGTGACTTCTTGGCCACAGCCAGCAACCCAGAAGGAGTGGGTAGTTGGACCATGGTCACAGGGGACATTAAGCTCAATTGGCATAAAATACTACACAAAAACATTGTTCCACATCCTACTTTGGCAAGTAGCAAATGGGATCTTAAAAGCTTGCAAGTGGCTATCTATATGCAATGATTTGTCTCTCCTCATCCAGAGCAAAAAAGAATGAAGAAAACTAAAGATGCACAGACACAATTCATCCAGGGGACTGGTACACCATGCGATCCTCAGCCTATATGACTATGAGACCAGAATAACTAGATGGTGCCCCGCTACCACTGTCAATCACTCGGAGGGGGATCTATGCAGGAGGTCCTGGATAGAATGGGAGAACAATGTAGAACAAAACTCAAAATCACTCCTGTGGCTTCCAGCCAAACAAAAGACAGGCATATGAGCTGAACATTTACATTAGGAAGGTATACTCCTTGGAGAGATCAATCATGGGAAAATAGAAGGGCTGTGTATGCACAGGGAGACAGGGAGGCAGGAGTGCATGGGAGGGAAGGATACAGGGAAGAGGTGGCTATGGGGAGGAAGTGGGAGACAGCTGTTGCATTGTGGGAAGTTGCAGTCAATGTCATGAGACAAAGTGTATGTGAGCTGCTGTATGGAAGATGAATTTGCTCTGTAAACTTTCATCCAAATCACAATAAAATTAAAAAACAAAACAGAACTTAGGCAGGCAGGTTCTGAGGGAGGCTAAGAAGATGAATAATGAACAAATGCCCAGGCATTATGATGTAGAGAGAGAGGTGCCTTTCCAAGTCAGACAGAGATCAACAAGCTGTGTGACCTTGGTCAAGTCACTTAACCACTGAGCCTTCAGCTACAAAACGTTAAAGATACTGCATCTCTCCTGGGACTAAAGTGAGACTATCTCTGGGCTAGTGTCTAGCCAGCCCCAGCTATCCTTTAGTGTCATCTCAAGGTTTACTCATATCATGACATAAGCAGGTGATGATGGCCCAAGAAGATGCCCGGAGATGTCAAAGAGGATGCAGGCTGAGCAAGGAGCAAATGTGCAAATGCCAAGAGCTCCTCTGCTCCCATTTGCTGTCCTCTCAACCCTTTACCTCCGAGCCCAATTTTCCTTTCTTCTTTTCTGTGGCAACTATTTGATTAAGTAGCCCCAGGCTTTTCTCGGTGGATTCAAAAAATACAAGGTGAGCAAAGCTTTCCAAGGTCATCAGGAGCCTGAAGCTGCAAACCAACCAATCTCTGTAATCACAGCAGGAAACTCTTGGGGAGATTTAAGCAGCAGGGACTCAGCCAGTGATGATGGAAGATAGAAATGGGCTCACTCAGACTGTGCTGAAAATGGTCTTGCTCATGAAGGATTCATTCTGGGTACAGAACATTCACACATATCACTCCTTTATCTCAGAAGCAAATTCTGCTTACAACCCAAAAGACATTTGGCCCTAACTCGTTATAGTCTTCTATCTTCTTGGTGCTACAGATAATCTATTATCCTCTCTGAGAAGTTGACAAATAAAAATCCTTCCAATGATCAAAGGATTTGGCTTGTGAAATAACTCAAAGCAGGTCAAACTGGTCACTCTAATTTTGTGCATGATTAAATACAAGATTTTCCCATTGCCAATTTTCAGCCTGTGTCATCTGATAAAACTGTAAATGCTTTGAGGGATGAGCCATTTCTTAATTGTACAATTAAGTCCTCCTAACTGCACAGCTGGCTTCTTCTAAAATATGGACAGAGATTGAATTAGAGACCTGTGTCTGGAAGATGCTAAATTTGTAATTGCTTGTTTTGGGAAGGTGGCACCATGGACACGTCATCTGGGCCCAAAGGAACTCTCAGGACAACTTCAAATTTACATCTGAGAATAAATGATCAGGATGGATAAAACTGCTGATCACTGAGAAGTAAGAGGTAGGAAAAGAAGGACCTGCACTTTTATGATCAATGACATGTAGTTGCCATTTATCACTGGCTCATGGGCAGTCTACTTCCATAGAGATATCACCTCGGAAACATAAGGAAGGGTCGCTATGAGTGGAGTGGGAATCGACTTGACAGCAGTGAGTTTGGTTTTTGTGTATGGGCTAATTTAAGCTGATATAGAGATCTGGCATTAATTGCCAAGAAAAATGTAAGGACTTCAAGTATAAAAGGTCTTTTTGTAAATTTGTAAAGCAAAAGACTCTGAAGGGTGGCAGTCTAAGTTAGGTGCTCAGTGAAGACACCAATTCCAGTTGGTGGCTTAGGGCAGACACCTGGGAGTCCACCCTATCAGCAGGTTCCATTTGCTATGCCTCCAGAACAGACACTGAATCTGTCTGCTTTTTTTGGTTGCTCTACTCATACATACCTGATCCAAGCCACCCATAATCCCTTGTACCTGGACGACTGTCACATCTTCCTCACTGGTCTCCCTGCTTCCACTATTGCCCCCACTGTTGTCATTAGAGCAGCCAGAATGGTTGTCTTAAATCCTAATTGCGCCCCCCCCAATTAAAACCTTCCACTTCCCTCTTAGAAAACTTAGAATAAAATGCATATTTTGACTTTGGTCTGGCCCCTCTGCCTTCCTCTCTGACCTCAGTTTCCACCATTCTTCCCTGCTCACTATGAGCCTTAGGGCTCCAGCTGCTTTGGACCTGCCAAGCTTCACCCTTGAGCCTTTGCTGATGCTCTTCCTCTGCTTGGAAGGCCCCTCCCCTTTTTCCCACATGGCTGCCTCCTTCTCATGTATGAGGTCTTAACTACCTTCCCCTCTCCTTGATGATGAGTCCTTTGATAACTATATATAAGCAGGAATTCTTAGTTTTCTCATTTATGCACCCTACTGTTTCCTTCTTGGCACCTTTATCAATTTGTTGGTATACATCTGTGTGTTTATTTGTTCATTCTTCATTGTCAATCTCCCTCATTAGATTGGAGGTGCCACTGAGATAGGGACTATGTCTGCACAACCAATAAGTAGCAAAGTGCCTGGCATACAGTGGGCACTTAGTAAATATTTGTTGAATGAAGGAAGGAATGAAGCTTAGTTCTGGGAAAATGACAAAGCTAGGGAAATAAATCCATATCCTAATAGAATCAACTTCTGCCCATGTTTGGGAAAGGGGTGGTTACCTGGTATCTGGTGGGCTTGCTGAAAGTATTATTTGCAGTCAGGTTTTCAGAATTCCTCATGCCAGGCTGGTAGCGAGTCTTCTGGAAGAAAACACCCCCAAACACACATCCATGCATCCCTACATTGTAGGACTTGAACAGCATGCACATAGGGGGCTGTCTCTAAAAGGGGGACACCCAGGAGGCTGACATGCCTATGGCTGCTTGGCTTCCCAGAACACTGTTCCTGGGAACTTAAACTAAAAAATTCTGTAAGATATTAACAGATGTCACAGTCTATTGTTTGGTCAAACTTCCATGGGAAGCATGAGATTAAACAAAATTATAGTAGTGTCTTTCCTGCAGGACTTCTCCAAGGTTTTAATATGATAATAAACATTGAGAATGTCCAGGTGGGGGAGACTGTAGGCAGGGAAACTTTTTTTAAGAGACCATGCTCCAACGTACTTTCTGGGAAAAGCTACTTCATTTCCAAGCCCACTAAGGAGTTCCCTTCTGTGGGGTCATGGCTCAGCCAGGCAGTTTAAGTCCTCAGCAATGCATCTCTCCAAGGAACTGAAAGAAGAAGGGGAAGTGGAATTGGGAGGAGAGGAGCACCTCTGCTGGTGTTCATCCTTTGCTCATGTGCTTGGAAGATTCTGAGGCGCCAGGCCCCTCTAGCCCCTGACTTGCCTTATATCTGGGGCCTTCATGTGAATCCAGCACACACAAGTCCCCCTTCCTGCTCCTGCTGCTCTCGCTAGTGGAAACAAACTGGATGCTGCCTACCTTGAATTTGGAATTCAGCATGCCCATTTCAAGGTCATTTTCACAGCTTTTGGCCTTAGATTTGCAAAGTTTTATGAGGCACATCTTGATTCTCATTATGAAATAATAAAATGATTTAGGACTTGGCACTAGATTAAAAGGAGCAGGTAGAGTTCTTCCTTCATCGAAGTAAGACAGCCAGAGCTTTGCTCGAGCAAATTTCCACTCCACGTCTGCATCCTCCTGTGGGACAAGAGAAAAAATAACACACCATCAAAGGCCATCATTTAACAACCAAGCTAAATTTGAGGAGGAGAGACACAGTCTACAATTCTTGAGAGCAGATACCTAGACCGGATTCTAACTACTGCATTGTGAGTGATGTTCTCCCTTGGAACCCACAGCACAAGATGCGGTTTGGCCTAAAGAATAACATAGAATCTGTAAAACATTGCATAACGTGGATGAACTTGGAGAACATTATGGTGAGCAAAATAAGTCAATCACAGAAGGACAAATATTGTACTAATCCATTATCATAAAAGTAAAGGAATGGTTTATATATGGAAGGAAATTTTCTTTGTTGGTTACCAGGGGTGGGAGGGGAGGGGATGGAACACTGTTAGATAGGTAGAGATAAGTATTGATTTGGGTGAAGAGAAGGGCTATGTACCAAATAGGAGTGATCAACATGGTGGTACTGAGGAAGTGGAAGACAGAGAGGTACATGGGAGGTGCAAACAACAAAGATGAACCCTTTTGCACATACAGTACTGTGTTGTTAGTGAAGACAAACATAGGTATACAGGCGGATACATGGGTGGACAGGCTGAATTATTAGGTATGTCTATGCAGCAGGGAGTGTACCCAAGACCATGTATAGGGCTGGCAGATAATGGTTCTACAAATGTATTTGCATGTTCTGTAAGAATTTCCAGGTGTATAGTAGAGCTGACAAGGGACAAGGTTGTAGACATTTCTTGGTCACAGCCAGCTACCCAGAAGGAGTGAGTAGTTGAACCTATGGGTTCGGGACCATAGTTGCAGGGGACATCAAGCTCAATTGGCATAACATACTACACAAAACATTATTCCACCTCCTACTTTGGAGAGTAGTGACTGGGATCTTAAAAGCTTGCAAGCAGCCATCTAGATGCAATGATGGGTCTCTCCTCATCAAGAGCAAAGAAGAATGAAGAAAACCAAAGATTCATGGAAACAATTATTCCTTGTGACTGGTACATCATGCAATCCTCAGCCTATATGACTAGCAGACCAGAAGAACTAGATGGTGCCCTGCTATCACTGTCAACCACTTGGAGGCAGATCTATGGAGGAGATCCTGGATAGAGAGGAAGAACAATGTGGAACAAAACTCAAAATCATTTGGAAAAGAAAAAAGGGGAGAGGACCAGGTTTGCTTGTCTGATAGAGCCTGCTGGAACCAGAGACTATGGTCCCTAGCTGTCCTTCAGTTCTGGAATTGAACCCACACCTGTGGCTTCCAGCCAAACAAAAGACAGGCATATGAGTTGAACATTTACATGAGGTAGATACACTCCTTGGAGAGAACAATCATGGGAGAAAGAAGGGCTGTTTATGCACAGGGAGACAGTTCAGTGGGTAGGAGTGTATGGAGGGATGGACACAGGGAAGTGAAGTGAGAGGGGAGCTGTTGCATTGGGGTAAATTGTAGTCAATGTCATGAGACAATGTGTGTGAACTGCTGTATGGAAAGTGAATTTTCTCTGTAAATTTTCACCCAAATCACACACACATACAAAGATAGGGTTTGGCCCCACTACAACTACCTGACTTTTCTCTACCCAACTCCTCATGATTCATTGCTGAAAGCCTCAGGCAGTTCATGCTACCCCTCCTTAGTCTCCACTGGGTATTTCCACCAACATTCTCCACTTGCCACTTATTAAATAACTTTTCTCACTGCCCCTTCATCTTCTTATCAATTGACTTTGTACAGCTCTGCTAACTGCCTCACCAACCACCATAGCATCAAGGTGTTAGTCTTTGAGAGTAGTGCAGTCCAGTAGAAATAGAATGTAAGCCACAGAAGTAGTTACAATATAAAAAAGTAATATGTTATCATTTCAACATGTAATAATTATAAAAATTATTTATTAGGTAGCTTAAACTTTTTTTTTTTTTTAATACAAAGTCTTCAAAATTCAGCATATATTTAAAGGAGTCCCCAGATGGTGCAAACAGTTAAAACTCTGGACTACCAATCAAAAGTTAGTGGTTAGAACCCATGCAGAACCACCTCGGAAGACAGTTCTGGCTATCCGCTTCCCAAGAGTCACAGCCTTGAAAACCTATAGAGCAGTTATACTCTGCACATATGGGGTTGCCATGAGTTGGAATTGAGTTGACAGCAACTAACAACATTTTACACTTAATGTTGTTGTTGTTAGGTGCCATTGAGTCATCCCCAACTCATAGCGATCCTATGCACAGCAGAACAAAACACTGCCTGGTCTTGTGCCAGCCTCATGATCCCTGCTATACTTGAGCCCATCATTGCAGCGACTGTGTCTATCCATCTCATTGAAGGCCTTCCCCTTCTTTGTTGACCCTCCACTTTACCAAGCATTATATTCTTCTCCAGGGAATGGTTCCTTCTGACAACATGACCAAAATAGGTGAGATGAAGTCTGGCCATTTTCGCTTTCAAGGAGCATTCCGGCTGCACTTCCTCCAGGACAGATTTTTTAGTCCTTTTAGCAGACCATGGTACTCTTAGCATTCTTTTTCAGCACCACAACTCAAAAGCATTAACTCTTCTTCTGTCTTCCTTCTTCACTGTCCAGCTCTCACGTGCATAAGAGGTGACTGAACTTATAGGATACCTCAATTTGGGCTAGCCACCTTTCAAGTGCTCAATATCCACATGTGGCTAGTGGCTACCATATTAGATAGCACAGTTTTAGAAAGTGTGTTTCTTATTGGTTAGAGCATTGCCAGGATGTTAAGAGATTTAACATATGTAATTCAAGGGGAACAAAACCTGACTATAGTTTGCAGGAGGTAATCCATCTGGGGTCTGTTCCCTGGAAGTGGTATTTGGTTTAAACCTCAGATCTGTTCCTTGTGAGTTGGTGTCAATGCCAGAATGCTGATGGGCCCCCTGAAAGGCAGCAGGTGTATTATTATCATTATTATTTTCCTATAGACAGGCTTCTTGATACCTCTCAGGGGGCCCACTCAGCATTCTGGCATTGACACCAGGGCAGTTTGAAGCCAAGAAGCAGATACGGGATTTGGAATCAGACTTGGGTTCAAAACTCATTCTAGCTATGTGCCCTTGGGAAAGGGTTTTGGGTATGTTCATCTGTACAACAGAGCTAACATTGCCATTGACATTGAGCATGTGCTCAATAAACAGTGGGCTCCTTTCCGCATTGCCAGTGGCTACATTCCAAGAAGCTGTGAGCCCAGCAAGAGCCCATGTGAAGTTGTTGGGGTGTACTAGGAGAGTATAAGACCAGAATCCGCCAGTGTGACCATTTTATTTACTTTTGTTGAGACTCTAATGGCACCTATCCTGTCCTGTTGGAGACATCCTCTACCTCTACTGGTCTTATAGACTGGAAGCTTTATGAGGGCAGAGGTTGCTCCTCGGTCTCCGCTATATAACAGAGAGGTGTAACAGGGACACCCTACCTGAGGGGAAGGTTGGTATGATGGTAAAAGCATAGACTATGGAGTCTGTCTGGGTTTAAATTCTAGCTCAGCTCCTTATTAGCTGTGTAACTATGGCAGTTGACTTAGCTGCTCTGTGCCTTAGTTTCCTTATCTGTGAAATGAAGATAATAATACCTACCTTACAGGTATTACAAGGTCTTTTTCATAGATCCTCCAGTTTACCAAGCATAATACCCTTCTCCAGGGGATGGTCCCCTCTGACAACATGACAAGGAGGTGAGATGAAGTCTGGCCATTCTTGCTTCCAAGGAGCACTCTGGCTGTACTTCTTCCAGGACAGATTTGTTAGTTCGTCTGACAGTCCACAGTACCTTCAGTATTCTTCACCAACACCACAATTCAAAAGCATCAATTCTTCTTTGGTCTTCCTTATTCACTGTCCAGCTTTCACATACATATGAAGTGACTAAAAATATCATGGCTTGGGTTAGGCACACCTTAGTCTTCAAAGAGATAACTTTGCTATTCAGCACTTGAAAGAGATATTTTGCAGCATATATGCCAAGTGCCATATGTTGTCTGATTTCTTGACTGCTGCTTCCATTGTGTTGATTGTGGAATCAAATAATATGAAGTCTTTGACAACTTCAAACTTTTCTCCAGTTATCAGGATGCTGCTTATTGGTCCAGTAGTGAGGAATTTTATTTTCTTTATGTTGAGATGTAATCTGTACTGCAAACTGTAGTCTTTAATCTTCATCAATAAATGTTTCAAGCCATCTTCACTTTCAGCAAGGAAGGTTGTGTCGTCTGCATATCACAGGTTATTAATGAGTCCTTCTCCAATCCTGATGCCATGCTCTTCTTCATATAGTTCAACTTCTCAGATTATTTGCTCAGCATATAGCTTGAATAAGTACAGTGAAAGGATACAACCCTGACACACTCACTCCCTGATTTTAAACCAGGTAGTATCCCCTGACTGTGTTCGAATGACAGCCTCCTACTCTATGTACAGGTTCCTCATGAGCACAATTAAGTGTTCTGGAATTCCCATTCTTCTCAATGTTATCCATAATTTGTTATGATCCACACAATCGAATGCTTTTGTATAGTCAATAAAACACAGGTAAACATCTTTCTGGTATTCTTTGCTTTCAGCCAAGATCCATCTGACATCAGCTATG